GGACCGGCGGTGCCGGGGGAGGGTGGGAGCATGGTGTGGGATGCTCGCCCCGTTTCGAGCAGCTCCTACCTGCTTGGAGGTGAGTTTGATGAGAGACCCTTCGTACCCCTGCAAGAAAAGAATAAAAAAAGCTGGGGGGTGTTGGTGGACATCCCCGCGATTCAGCTGCCCCTTGGAGAGGGAAACTTGCCACATTCTTCAGCTGGTAGCCCCACAGCTAGATCCTACCAAGGTTGGTGGGGCCATGGGGATGGGGCAGGGGACCAGCCCTGCGCTTCTACCGCCCCTCTCCTCCCTCCCCAATCTGGTACCTTAAAGGGCCTGAAGAGCAGGTAAAGTTCCCGGGGCTTGATGTCCAGAGGCAACCCGCTGACAAAGAGCGTCCTTACCTGGAAAAGAAGAAAGGAGGTTCCTGGGCACCTTCCCTCATCCCTGACTTGGGGATACCCCGCGCCTCCCGCAGCCTTTGGTGGCGGCACTCCAGAGGGATGATGCCAGCCCAAGGGGAACCTCGCGGGCAGCCAAAAAGCCTTAAGCCGCGCTTGGGGGACGCGGTATTTTTAGGAGAGATGTCCCCATCCTTCGGGGGGACCGCGGAGCAAGCTGTGAAGACACCACAGAAAGGTAACCGGGACCTGTCCTCACCCCACCGGGTGCTCTCCGAGTTGAGAAGGCTGCCAGCATCTCGGTGCCTTCCTAGCCCGGTCTGGCAATCAGGATCTCTCCCGGCATCCCCAGCAGAGCCCTTACTCTGCACACAATGCCTATTGTCTCCGTTTAATTGCAGCAGCTCATTAAGGACCGGGAGAAGCAAACCCCAACTCTTCCTCCTGGAGGAACGGCCCTGGTTTGGAGGGGGCTGGTTTTAAGCAGCCTCTCCCTGATTTGTAAAAGTCACCTTTTAAGGGTTTGTTGTTTGGGTTTTTTTTTACTCTTTTTGGGTGGATCTAACATTTGCCACGGTGCAGCATCCTCAAAGCCGGGGCGGCTCGCAGAAACCCCGCTTCCACCCACCCCCGAGGGAGGGGATCTGGGGCTCCTCGGGGACAGGCGAACCCCCGCTGGGCAAGACCCGTGCTGGGATGGCTTTGCTTTACGACCAACTCGTAACGGGGGGGAGCGGTGTAGGGGCAGGAGACCGACAGCTGCATCTGTTGCCGGTCCCCCTCTCCTTATCCCCCCCAAAATCTCATCCAAGCACTTCGGTGGCTGATGGCCGGGGGGGCCCGTGGGAGCCTGGGGCTGATGATGACCCCAACCGGCCCCACCTGGGCCCCCCCCACCCACGGCCCCGGGGCTGGATTTAGGCTCAGTGTCCCCATGGCTGGGTCAGACCCTGGCTGCCACCACCCACCAGCTCCGCTCTTGCCGGGACACCTGGGGATGGAGCCCACCATGCTTTGCCATCCCCCCTCGGCTCCGGGCTTGATTGTGAGCCAGCCCCGCTCCTGCTGCTCCCGTAGCATCGTACTAGGATGTCATTTGGAAGATTTGATGGCTGTAGCTTATTTTTTCAGGCACCCAAAAGCCTTGCGAGAGCTGGTCCGCAGGGGCTAGACCAAGGTCACCCATCCCGGGTGCCATGATGACGGATTTGGGCTGGAGGAGGGGAAAACCTTGTTGGTTTGTTGTTTGGTGGGTTTTTTTAGTATTTTGGGGGGGGGGTTGTTTGTTGTTTTTTTTTTTGTATTTTATTTTTTGGCCGGGGACTCTGCCCGCCCCATTCCCTGGGACAGAGACACGAGAAACAGCCAGAAACAGCCAGCCCAGGCCTATTCTTCTGCTGACATTTCTTCTTTCTCTTGCAGACAAGCTATCTACCCCATCTCCCAGCCTGGG